CTTTCCATCACTCCTTTCGTTTGGATCGTACTAAGCAGAAAGAGAGAGAGAGAGAGAGAGAGAGAAGAAGGAGAGAGAGAGAGAGAAAGAAAGATAGAGAGAGTTGGAGGCTGCCCCTCAATTGTTTCACACAAAAAACAACACACACACACACACACACATATATATATATATATATATATATGGATATATATATATATTATATTTTTTATACGTTATTTTTATAGATACAAATTATTTAAATGAATGCTCCCTTTCAATTAAAAACAGGGCATTTACTGTATCTATAAAAATAACGTATCAACAGAAAATATATTAAATAATTGTCCGACTTAATCCATTTCATCACACACACAGACACACACACACACACACACACACACATATATATATATATATATATATATATATTTATATATTCAGTCAGGTCAACTGAAAATATATTGACATATCGATAATGCTACAAATCAATACCACAGTTGGAATTACCTGACCAAATTATACAGGTTTTATAGATTAATCAGTCGGGAAATAACAAGAACCATTGAATATTTTAGTTGTTGCTGTCTATAGTATTCTGGCAAAATAACATCTGACAGGAAGATTCCTTCTGAAATTTTTACTTGTTGACACCTTACGTGATATGTTTTCAAATTGGTGATGGTTAATTCTTATCACTGTAAATGCAGGTCGTTTTTGCTGGTGTAGTTTTTTTAGGATCGCAACAAGTAACAGTTCCTCACAGCTAAATATGCATAAACCAATGATAATTGTAATGGTAATATATGCCGTTACCTTATAAGGAAACATTCAACATTAATTAACCGAGCAGTCAGTTTCTACATACGGATGGATTTTATAAAATATTACTTACATTCTTAAACATTTCTTGGATGCCTTGATAATGTCATTATTTTCCCTTCAACTTACATGGACTGTTTTAGTTGCTGTTTGAAGTGATGTCTGTTATTTGGTACAATTCTTTGTTTCTGAATCCGTAGCACTAGACCACGAATTGCCAAGAAGTGCTGATGACTTCGTAGGGAAAATAGGGTTCTGTAGTAGGAAAAAAAAACCTTTTTTTTATTATTTCAATCCTAGCAATAAGATCACTACCATGCAAGATGGGGATGCTAAGAAAAATAAAACATTAAGAGAAGAATAAAAGAACAAGAATTAAGAAGACAGAAGATATCGCTTTACATTTGCATTTAAATTTATCAATATCAAAGTTGACTGCAAATCAAAAACCCGGAAGTGAGTGCCATGATCGATAAGTATTTGTGAGAAACTCTTAGCATAGAACTTACGGTTACATCTAGCCATTTCAACTGTAAAATGATGAGACCTAGCTACCAATCGAGTAGAGCGCTTAAATACATAAATTCTACGTATGAAAGAGGAAAGCACATCAGAAGAATTACCCTGAAAATATACACAGGATAGGCACAGGGGAAGATACGTTATGTTGGGTGGAAATTGACTGAAGCCGAGATGCCGGGCCAGATCCAGTAGTATTGCAGTTTCTTCTCTGTATTTTATCAAGAATATCTAAATACATAGCAGATGTGATAACAATATACAGTGAGTGAACGAATGGTCGATTATGTAAGATAGATTGTGGTGAGAATAATTGTCCAGCACGACACAGTGAACCCACTTTCCCAGCAGCAGACCTAGAATTTTAATCAATATAATCACTCTCCTGGAGAATAGCATCAGCCATGTTGTTGGAATGCAGAAAGGTAGCAATTTTTGTTTCGGAGGTGTTACAACTTACAAGCTGTTTCTTTATGCAGTTAAAAAACAGCTTGTATGTCGTTTCTTAGCATAGCTGCCAATTGGACCTTATTGAACTGACCAGACTTACCATTAAGAGGAGTAAATAGTCGTGTCATTAGCATAGATATCGAGTTGAGAACTGATGACATCAGGGAGGCCATTGATGAAAATGAGGTCCCACCGAAGGATGATGACAATACTTTGGACGAACATGTGACCAACGAGGAGGTTTTAGATAAAATCGAAGCAAAAAAGACACGTATAGCTGACATCTGAAGGAGAGAGTTTAAAAGTCAATGGCACATGGTGAGGAAACCAGGATTAGAAAATTTGACACTGACATGCAAGATAGACAGAGAAAAGATTCCTATAACCAAACACAACGAGCAGGTGTAAATGGTTGGTAGAGCGTGGTTTAGGATAGATAGCAAAAATGTCACGTTTATTAAGATCTAAAAAGGGTATGAAGTTGTGGAGAGTTATGATCAAACACGTCCTGAAGGAACACGGATGGATGACAGAACAGAGACTGGGTGGGATATTAAAGAGACAAACATTACTTAGAGCTAAAACGAATTGGAAGTTGTGGAGAGCTATGATCGCCCGCATCCTGAAAGAACACGTATGCCTGGCAAAGCAGGCATTGCAGGGTGTGTAAAGATATAAACATTACTTAAAGCTACAAATGATAGGAAGTTGTGGAGAGCTGTGGGCGCCCACGTCTTGAGACACGGATGTATGGGAGTTCAGATTTGGGAAGGACTGTAAGGATACAAATATTGCTTTTTATTACAAATATTTAATTTCTTTTTTACTATTAATAATTTATGGTAATTTACAGTTAATAAAGAAAAAGAATCTGAGGAGAGACATTATCTTTTTTTCTTCTCTTGAATGAATATGGTATTAAAAGAAATCTCTTGTTTTGTCCAGAAAATATATAAATATATGGCATTACTATTGTTTTTTTTTTTTTTTTTTAACTTAAAAAACGTTTATCTTGAATTAAAACTCCATCCATTTTTTCCTCATTAGTTTCAGTGGCTTCACGCTTTTCTTCTCTTATGACATATCATTACAATGACTTGATTAATTACAAAGAAATCTATAGTAACTTGAGAATTAGCTGTATTTGTCATTTCAAACTTGTTTGATGAACTATTTTGATTTTCACGAGAAAGCAGTTTATCTATCCGTTACACTTCTAAGTTGAGTACGTTAGTAGCAACCTCAGTTACAAAAAAATATATACGTGTACACAAGGTTTAATACTGCCACGAGCAAAGTGAGGCCAGCGGGCCACATGTGGCTCGTTTCGCTTTTTTGAATGGCACGACGAATTCCATGAGGAAAATAAGGTTTGTTAAAATTTTGTTTATTTCGTTTCGTCCTCACTTGTTCATTTACATTTTCTCACGCATAACCACATTCATAAACAATGATTAAAAACAATGTTTCTTGAATATTGTAACTTTTCGTTGAAGGCAACGTTTTCCTCATTTTAAACGATTGGTGATTTTCACTACGGAAGACCTTTATTTGGAAACAAGACGTTCATAATATATATATATATATATATATATATATATATATATATATATATTGTCTGGAGAAGTAATATATTTTCTAGAGAAGAAATGTATTTTTAAATTAATTTTTGTATTTGCAAATGAATAAATAAGAATGAAATCACATGCAACAGTGTGTTTTACCGAAGGTCATCTGTGATAAAATTATACTGGGACTTCGTTTTTATTAATCATTGTGGAATCTTTTCTCCAAAAGCAATCATCATTTATATTGTATACTAGCAGTAGAGCCCGGCGTTGCCCGGGGATGTAACAGTAAGAGATAGATCAAGTATCGACCATTATAAGGTTGAAAAATAAAATTGACAAAGATTATTGTTTAAGGTTGACGGACACGCATGTCTTAATTAGTTTTTTTTTTTTTACGAATTGGTCAAACCCAAACTCAAACAAAAACATTGTTTTCAATCGTTATGAGTCTACCGATTGAATAAAATTTTATTATAAACAATTGTCTTGTAAATGGAATTTTAAAGCATTCTGAATGTAAAAATAAAGAAAAAAGTGTGCAAGACAATAAGAAACACTACCTGCCAAAAGAAAGCGAAGTTTTGTTGAAATCGGTTGAAAAATGTAGGAAATCCGATCCCATATATAAACGAACACACACACACACACACACACACAACCTGAGTTTTATAATAAGTATAACTCGATATGAGTTGTCCTTTCATTCCGCGAAAGCGATGCCTCTTAATCGTGTTTTTCAAATTTCGTGCAAAAACAATTGTGTTTTTCCAATTTTTGGCGCTGTCAGAACCACCACAAGGTAATTTTACGTAGTCCTGTGAAGTTTTGTTGAAAATTAATCATATACTACACTAACAGGCCGAAACAAGTTTTTAGTCCAAAGAGGACCCGTTTAGGTGAAACCTAGGTAGGTTGCTCTTAGCTCTTTAGATTTATTTATTTATATATATATATATATATATATATATATATATATATATATGTGTGTGTGTGTATATATTGTGTGTGTGTATTTAGGCACCATTTTTTCATTAAATAATATAGACAAGTGTTGTCTATTTATTTTATGTAAATTCTTTTCATATCGTCTGATAAGCTTTATAACATAAGACATAATAAGAAAATCACAATATTGATACATATTTTTTAATCCAATGTAAGTTTTCGGCTTACATAAGCCATTGTCAATGATGACTCAATTTTTCCGAGGCTACTTCAATTTGCCTTTTCACAAGGCTACATTTATAATTCCAAATATTGATAGTATTGTGGGCTGCTGGATCATATAATTTAAATTGTGTGTATTTAGGCAGCATTTTTCCATTCAGACATGTTTCATTAAATTTAAATTTCTTTCTGCGGTAGTCCAGTGGTACATCCCTGTCTGTCCTGCTTTTTACCCATAGCTGGGGAGATGAAGAGGATTCATACCTCTCTCAATGGTATTGGCACGTAAGTAAATGTAATGGATTTGATTGGAATACAAACTCGGTTCAATCCCAGCCGCTATTCATTACTCCACCGTGCCTCTTTACTATATATTGTCTTTTATCCAATAAAATTGCAATCAAATTAAAATTATCAAGTGATGGTGTTGAATGTAGAAAATTTGAAGATTTTAAAATAGTTTATTTTACATTCAACACCATCACTTGATAAGACACCAGAAGTGTCGAAACAAAATATCTATTTATTGTAGTGATTTTATAACATATTTATGTTATAATTTTCGAATAAATAATTATATTTTCTCTACTTCTGTATTGAGTACTCTT